TTTGTCTCTAAAGAATGAGAGGATTTCAGATCCAGGGTCTGAAGTTACTGTTAATATTCTGTTAAACTATACTGTTAAAATCCTGCTGCATTAAAAACCCCAAATCCATAGAAATGATGCTGTACCTAATCAGCATTTGATGCGCTGTTGATCTTTACTAATCTACAGTTAAATTCAATACATATAAATCAACATAAGGATTGTTTTTCTGTGGCTTGAATTTTACATCATATTATAAGGGACTTAATTATGAGCCCATTGCTTTTGAATCATAGAATCTTAGAATGGTTTGGGTTGGAAAGGACCTCAAGATCATCCAGTTCCAGCCCCCACCACAGGACCATGTCACCTCCATCTTTTTTTATGTAGGGTGCAGAGTCTTTTAAAACTAAATAGATAGCCTCTGTCTACACAATGAATGTTCCCTGCCTTAACTGATCACTGATACAAAGAGTACCAGAGGTGTAATTGGGTTTCTGCCTTTTTTTTTTTTTATGTTTAATTTGGTTTTGCTTCTAGGAAATGGAGCAGGTTCTCATCCATAATCCCAGTTAGCCATAAGATCCTAAATCCTCTACTTTTGAACAGCACATTTCCTTTTGGTGTCATGCTGCTCTGTGTTTCTTATTCCTCCAAGTATGAAGGAGGAAAGTTTGGGTTGTTTTGTTTTTTCTTTTTTGCCAGTCTAAGAACTATTTCATACAGCTCTGCATTCAAAGGTGTTTACTGGATTTTGGAAGTGCTTCCCGAGCTGGAAAGATGAGCAGAGCTGCACAACATGCTCTAACAGGTTCTGCCGTTCTGAACGCCTGCCTTTCGGATGCTGTCAGTACAGAGGCAGCCGACTGGAGCTGGCCAAGTCCTGCTGCATCAGTGGTAATTCTTTCACCTCAGACATACCAGCTATCACTGGAAAAACAATGGAACTCAATGAACATCTTTAGGAAGCTCTTCCCCTCCTGTATTTAAAGTGGAAGCAGATTAGCTCGCAGTGGAAAATCTTTGTGATAGACAAAGAAGCCAAGCTGTGATATTTGTCCCTTTTACATAGAGTTTTTTTTAGCTGTTTTCCTAACTGTAATGTGCAGGAGTACTGCTGAAGTGGTGACTAATGCCATGCCCAAACAGGCCCTGTGAATCTGTGGAGGAAGGATGTAATTCCTGCCCTCCTCCCCATTCAGACACAAGTGTGCCATCCATCAGTGATCTGACTTGGGAAGCAAAGAAACCTGGATGATTAAATGTAGGTCACAAAAGTTGAAGTACCATCCGGTCTCAGAAAGGATATATATGGCTAGAGGGAAGGACAGAAGGGAAGCAGGAAGACAGGCTGCAACACCAAGGCTCTTCAGGAAAGGGGAATTCAACCCTAGTGAAAGCAGTACAGCAAGCCATAAAATACATCAGACAAACGTATGGGAAGGAAATCAGAGGGATGGTAAGACTGTGAAGCAGATGGTCTACTCAGTAATGCGTCACCTCACAAAAATAGCAAGTAAGTGAAATAGTTCCTTTTTCAGTAGATAAAGGAAAAAAATCAGGTGGGGCTGTGATGGTAAATGCTCTGGTTCTGCAGGGGAATGGGGGTGCTTTGACTTACAAGAATGAATTGCCATCAGGCATTGGGATGTTCAGTAAAAAGATGCTCAGGCTGGTGCACTGCAGCACAGCAAAGTGTTGTGACTGGCTTGCCAGAGGATTCTGGTTGAGTTTAAGGGTAACGGGGTTGCTCTGTTCCCAGATGTGTGTTGAGCAATGTGCTGAGATGGCAAAAGCCGTTTGGGAACAGTCAGTTACTTGGTTTGGTTAAGACCAGGCAGGTTAATAAGGACATGCAGAGCAACCTGATAAAGCAGCATGAGGGAGCAACAAGAAGACAAGGACGTGGCACTAAGAGGATTAACTGAGGTTTAGTTAGTGTCTTAATTCGTGAAGGAAGGGGACAGGACAGACATGGGTTTATAGATAAAAAGAGGACCTTGATAGAGAATCTAAATCCAGAATTGGGCAATGCTTCAAGTACGTGGAAGAAAATAGATTTCTCTATCTTGGTGTTCGTCTCCAAGCGATCCAGGAAGAAAAAAGGGGTGGGGGAAGCGTATGAGGCAATGGAAAGGTGTAGGACATGTCCTGTGAACAATGAACACTCAGCACAACTAAATCCAAGGAAAAGGAAATACTCCCACCCACTCTTCTTTCCTTATCCTTTTTCTCACAGAATTAGCATCTCCTTGGGAGGCTGCTGAGGCTGGGAAGTCTCCTGAGGGTTGAGATGACTTAGGCATTTGTGTGAGTGGAAGTAGGAAATGTTACAGTAAATAAGCCGGGCTTAGGAAAGTGCAGAATTCCTGTGATTTGGGGCATGAAGTGCATTTCAGACTTGTTCTGTTGGTTTGGATTGGGTTTTAGCTTTAAATCCCTCCAGATGCCATAAAGGGAGAAGCAGATGCTTGGTGAGCTTCGAAGTCTTTTCCAACCTGGTTGATTCTATGAAAATAAAACCCCCAAACCCTTTGTTTTTATACGTTGCTCAGCTCTTGCTTGGGCAAATCATCAGGAGCTACTTGGCTAAGAACATGAGTGTCTTCCACTGTTAACAAGCTGGCATGAGGCTGCAGTATGAGTAGAGATGTTGTGGGCCCTTAGCTCTGTGGATAGCAATAGAATTAAAGAGAAATGGCTCTGGCTGGGTGGAAACTGAACTGAAGTAATAGTAATAGTGGAAGAGCTTCTAAACATTAGTGACTGCTGCAGCCACGCTGCCTTCACCTGCCCAGTTCCAGCTCCTTCATAGCCGTTGGCATCCCAAGAGAAAAGCTGTGTGAGGAGCTGAGATCTGCCCTGTAGCCCATGAATTCCCATCTTGGGTATGCAGTGAAAAGTCTGAAGCAAAGGCTGGTGCAGTAGAACCAGTCTTGAAGTTCTCCAGTACAGCTCTTGACTTCTTTCTTCTCTTTGTAAAGAGAAATGCTAAGTTGGTTGATGTCCGGTTGGAGCTCCTTGTCACTCCTCGAGATTGCTGGTGTCTCTTACGCAGTTTCAGAATGGGTCTTTTGGCAAGTCGCAGTGGAGAACCATCCAATGTAGTGCAGGTGGTGGCTGGTGGCCATGCCCAGCGATGCTCCAGGAGTTCTGACTATGCAATAACCTTTGCTTTTGATGGGCAGGTTAAATCCTCACCAGTTGCCCTTAGTATGCATCAAATGGAATGAAAGAGGTTTTCAGAGGGGCTTGGAACTTGATAATGCACTTGGCAAGTGTTCCTTTCTCATTCACTGTGTGTTTACAGAGCACGTTTGCAAAGCAGATTCCGTGCCTGCTGCGTTTATACTGGGTTTGTTGGAGTCTGTTTTCACCCAGGTGTGTGTGTGTATGTGTGTAAACCTGCTTGTGCAGATGTGTTCAAGGAGAAACCCCACACCTCAGAGTCTGTCTTTTGGGTGTGAGAAACTCTCTTGGGCATGGGGAGGCCTCCTGCTAAAGTGTTATCTCAGTACGTGTTTCTGAGGCTTGCGAAAGGAAGGTGCTCCACTTCCCTGCTTGGAGGGGGTGGGAAACCACCTTTTATTACTGTTTGCATTGAATTATGGGAGTTAATCATTGCCCATGCGTGTATGTGTGTGGAGGGAGAATGTGCTCTCTGGAGGCAGTAAATCTGACACTGGTTTCTTCATCTGTGTGCTTGTGAAGGTGATTTTCCTGTCTAGGTGCTTTGAAAGCATTTTAAAATGCAGGAGCCACCAGTGAACAGTGTCTTACCAAAACTGCTCTTGTAATGCTTGTTTAGTGTTGTGTGTTCTGAAATAGAACTGTATGTCCTGAAATACAGGTAAACCTACCAAACCACTAGACATGGCGACTCGTACATTTCTCAGAGGCAAAAATAATTACAGTGATTGCATATGGTGTTTCCTTATCAATACTCGTTTTATGGTAACTGAAGGATGAATACACAGGTGAATGAAAAGAAACTACTGTTTTTAAGGCTTTACCTCCCGTATCATGTATTTAACTTCATCAGCAGCTGATGTCAAGAAGAAGTGTAAAGTGCCAGGCAGATGTGGGATGGTCTTCCTCCTTAATAGAACTTGGTTTACATCCTTAAGAAGGATGCTTTGCATCTCTTCTAAAGCACTTGTGTTTGGGTTCTTCTGTACTTTTGCCTATCATGTCTGGTGTTAAAACTGGCTTTTCTTTGCGGTTTCTGTTTGTTTGGGGGGTTTTATGCCTGTTTTGGTCAATAGTAGTAACCTCAATAGTATTTTGGTCTATAGTAATTTATTGCCCTCCTGAAAAAAGTGATTTGTAGGAATGGTTGTACCTTTTGACTTTGTGTTTATTCTTCTTATTATAAATACAACAATGCTTGCAATTAGAGTGCTTTACTGTGTTTAGGGAGTGTATTGATGTCAGTGGCATAGCCTAACGTAAATACAAAAATGCTTCTTTTCCAAATATACATCAGCATTAGAGTTCCTAACATAAAGGAGAGCAAAATCCCTGGTTAATACATTTTTCTTTCTTAAAGTTGTGTTGAAGACACCATATTCTTCTACCAAAATCATTCAAACGAGACGTTTAATTTCATTTTTCTTTGCCAAAGTCACACAAGAACAGATTTGGTTGTAAAGAACGTTAAAAATGAGGCGTAATAGAGCAGAACGTGGAGCTCTGCAATATCAGTTGTGGTTTTGAATGGATCTTTTTGTTTCTCTGTGAGTATGAAAGGCTTGAAATACCGATTTGCTTGGTGTGAACATGAAAACTTTGCTTATGGCTCTTCCTGCCAGTGACCTTGACAGCAGCACGGCTGCGCCTAAGTGCTTCTTGCTGGAACAAAAGCTGGTTCTGTCTAAGGCTTGTTTGAGTTCAGGAAGCTGTGTTTGCTGAAGTCAGGTCTTGGTGACGCAGCTCAGTCAGGTTGCAGCAGCCACACCTCTGCGGAGCAGTTTGGGTGCTCAGTCTCAACCTTTGTTCACAGCTATCTTCCTTCTCCAGCAAAGCATCTGAGCTGCTTTGCTTTCTCCTGCTAAAGGCAGAGCTTCCAAAGAAAAGGCAGCAGCAAGTCCTGTTGAGATCTGCAGTAGCCCTGTGTCAAAGAGGCTGGATGGCAGCAGGATAAATGGATTCTCTTCCTAATCACTGTGGTAAGGATAGGGTTCAGTGTTCGGAAGCGTTGAACGTGGGCTTTGTACGATAGGATTTCATAATGCTTGAAACCGGGAAAACCATGCAGAATGCCATCATTTGGCTCCAACTGCACAGGGATACTGGTTCAAATTAAGTAGGTGCATCCTTAATGTCATAATATGGTTTTCAATGTGGCTCTGGGGCATTGTGTTAACATTTGTCTCTGGTAATGGTGTTTAATGCAAGAATACCTTCCTAATGAGCCATGCTGCTGCAAGTGCTCCCTCTAGGACTGTGTAAAGCTAGTTTCCACTGCTTTATGATGAGGATTTGCTTTTCCGTAATTATGGATTTGTAAGAATCCCGTCAAAATTAATAGCTTTTGGACAGCAATTAGAGTTCTGCAGCATATTTCACCGCTCATGTGCGGGGTTGGTCTCTTTCCCCGTCCTGTTCCTGCTGCGGATACTGACCTCTGTTCCCGTGCTGCACGTGCTCGGGGGAGTGCGCAGACGGGGTTTCTGGTGAGCATGAATTCTCACCGCTATCAGACTGAAGCGAGCGTGTCACTGCAGATCAGCTGTTCTGGCTGCTTTGGGGGAAGCCCAGGGTTCTGAAATCAAGTCCTGAAGGATCAGCATTTCAAAAGCAGACCATCTATTTCTGCTGGGAGCCACCCGCGTTTATGCACACACAAGCACATGTGGCTCTTAACTGTCAAATACCAAAGTTTGGTACTGAGACTTCTGGAGTGTGCTGTTCAGATGCAAACGCTAAAGTAGCTCAAGCCAAGAAGGGCTTTAAGCATCCTTTTGGTAAGCTTGCTGACTGGAGAGGGCTGAAATGGAGAGCTGCGGGCTTGGAGAGCATTCGGTGCATTGTTACTACTCCTCTCCAACCAGATGTGATGCCAGGGCTTGAACCCTTGCTTACAGCAGGGGTAAATAAACCAGTCTTTTTTGCAAACAACTTGTGAAGAGGTGATAGTAGCAGTGTGTGGAGACCGTAGTTTTTCTGTCTCTGTGTTCAGCTATGCCTTGTCTTCGTGCTGATTTACTACCAAATGATGGGGCAGCTGACAAAGACCCTCACTGGACCATGCTGAGTGCAACATGATGTTCATCACCATGGTCCACTGTTGGCGAGTTAAAATGGGAGTGCAGAATTCTCCCTTTACAAAAATAGACATGTTTTCCCTCTAACTTGCCATGAATGCCATGTTTCTCTTTTAATGTTTCTGCTGTCTGACTTGGCTTCTGCCAGGGCTCATCAGCACTACTCCTTCCCTAAGGCCCTGGGAGGAACTGCTGAAGGATATAGGCATATTATGTACGTGGAAAGACTAAACAGCCGTTTCCACTAGGCATGGAGTAGGCAAATGAACTTAGAGTCCCAGGTTTTCTTCACGGGCAGCACTGTCTGACTGGCACATGGTGACCAGATTCAGAAACTGTCTTTTTGAATTTCTTTAAGATTTTAATATCAAGATTTTAATACAGTTACAAAGTATTTAGTGTAATTTGCCACTGGGGGAGGGGGGGACACCCCAAACCATTTCCTTATTGAATGCATTCCCAGGCACTGGTATATGCTCACTTGCCTGCTGCAGTGCAAATAGGGATCCAGTGTGCTCAGAGCTTGTATCTGCCTAGGAGACAGTCTCCAGAGAGACTAACTGCAACTTGAATTCAACTTGCTTGCTGGAACAAGCAGAAGAGGAGGTTTACAACAGCTGCTAGGGAGGAAATAGTTCTTTTGGTTTCCAGGACATTGACTTGACTATTGCCTTCCCCTTGGGCCACAGAGTAAGTGGTGACTGCTAAGGTGATGTGAAAATGGGATGGCAAAAGACTTGGGAAAAGCATGAAATCATCTGCTTGAAGAATGTTTCAATTGAGCATTGGTTTTCTGGCTGCATTTCAATAGCAGTGATACCCATTCGCGTGGCGTGTGACAAGCTCTGAGAAGGGCCTGGGTATGCTGTGGGTGTTTTTTGCCTAGTTAGGAACTATGGAAAATGGAGAGTGTTGCTAATTGAGCACTTCACTTTATTCTGTGCAGAGATGATCTGTTTTACTTGAAGACAGATTTACGTGATCTTCGCAGCCCATAAATCACTCCTGCATTGCCTCCCTGCAAGCCTATTGGCAGTAGAGCACGTTACTCAAAGTGTGCCTGTTTTCAATTAGCTCAAGGAAAATCCTCTAGTCATGGAAAGAACATCCATCTCTATTACCTGCCCTGAGACTTCAACACCCAAATACGTTTGCATGAAGCTTACTCTGCATAAGTAGTGATTAGCGCTGATGATTACATGGGAGAGGGTAGGAAGACTTAACTGCCTCTGAAGTGTTTCTGACCCTGAGGTTCGGAGCTGTGAGCAGTTGTGGGATAGCTCCTAAGAAACAGGGAAGTGCAGCAAAAAGTGGTTTTGGCTTGCTAAGCAGGAAAGGTTTCAGAGGGCATCTGGGGCAGGTCCAATGTGTGCTGGAGCTGGTGGGTCACTGCTGCAGGGTGCCAGGGCACGTCGGGCATCGGGGCAAGGCAAAGCTGTTGCCTTGCTCATCCTAGAATCGCAGAATCCCAGACTGGTTTGGGTTGGAAGGGACCTCAAAGCTCGTCCAGCTCCAACCCACTGCCACAGGCAGGGACACCTTCCACTACAGCAGGTTGCTCCAGGCCCTTCTGTCCAACCTGGCCTTGAGCACTGCCAGGGATGGGGCAGCCACAGCTTCTCTGGGCACCCTGTGCCAGCGCCTCAGCACCCTCACAGGGAAGAGCTTCTGCCTTAGATCTAACCTGAACTTGCCCTGTTTCAGTCTGAACCCATCACCCCTTGTCCTATGGCTGCAGTCCCTGATGAAGAGCCCCTCTCCAGCATCCTTGTAGCCCCCTTCAGACACTGGAATCTGCTCTGGGGTCTCCACGCAGCTTCTCTGCTCCAGGCTGAACAGCCCCAATGTTCTCAGCCTGTCTCTGTATGGGAGGTGCTGCAGTGCCTGAGCATCCTCATGGCCTCCTCTGGGCTTGCTCCAAGAGCTCTATGCCTTAACTTGGTCTTTTCTGGGTGGAAAAGCAGCACTGGTATTTGTTGCTTTTCCTCATTAGCAGCAGTTTTCTGTATACTCTGGGTACAGTCTTCCCCCTGTTATCTCCGGGGTCGGGGAATTGAGAGCTTTTTAGTTTTCTTCTGTGTTTTCTGCACTGCACATAGGCACTGTTGCTTTATGTTTGTTGCTTTGCCCATTTCATTGTGCCGTGGTTCAGCAGCGGTCGGTTGGTCCTTGGAGTTACAGGTGACAGACAGATTGCGTGCGCTCGCACGGTGTTTCTTGCGTAGCTGGTTCCACCTCTCCTGCAGCGTCTTTGTTCTCCTAACTGGAGAAAAGGCAAAGGACACTGCCAGCTTTCACAGAAAGCTGCTTGGCTTCCAAGGGGATTGAAGTAGTTTTCATCTGTGACTTTTCCTGTTGAAACCCAAGTCTGTGTGAACCGGCGTGCTTAGAAATGAACAATGTCTCATTAACATGGGCAAGTCACAATCCCCCTCTGAAGGCAGAATGGGTGATGTTGATTTGTGTGAGGCTGCCAAAGTAAATGTCAGTTGAAGTCTTGTGGCTTGCACTTAGCTGGAACAATATACCTGGCCTTCAAATAAAGGGTTTTTTCACTTCCCGATCCAGGATGAAGCCCTCATTTTATTCTGGTTTGCTGTTAGTGTGAGCAGGTTTCTACAGGCACTGAATTCATGAGCACAACTGTTCTCCATGTTCCCAAAGAAAAAGGCATTTACTTCAGCACGTACGTTTTGGTGTGTAAAACTGAAGACGAGGAGGCTATGACATGTTTAGGAGCATCTTGTCAGCCTGTTATAGCGGGGACTACAGCCTGCTTGAGAGCACGTGGACGTGGGTGGGAATGTGGAGGTGTCTGTTTTGTGAACATAGTGTCTGCAAAGGGAAGATCTCTATAAATACCACTGCGTGTGTTCAGCTTCAGCTCCTGGTGGTGTTACTGTGGGAAGTGCTGAGCATCTAGGAATTTAACTAGTCACCTCTCCACTGTGGCCAAAAGAAGCAGGCCATCTTGTACCATGCCTATACCAGGGAGAAACCTGCTCTGTGGCAGGATTCACTGGGGCTTGCTCAAGCATGCAAAGGACTTCATGCTAAAGAAATACTTGATGTACATATATATACTCTCTAATGGGGATTACTGGCATTTTGGTTAATAGCTCATAAGTTTATGACTTTAAGAGACTGTAGAGATCTTCCTACAGTTTGGGGCTGTTCAAGAAGCTCTGTGTGTAGACGTCTTAGTAAAGGAATGGGCTTCTATTAAAGACTTGGTAGAAGTGGCTGTAACTTATCATAGCCTGGAGTGCTCAAGAGAAAGATGTGTTGTGGCAGATCCCTGCTGAGGGACCTTTATCTGCTGGCATGACTACTGCTCAAGATGCAAAATGTTCTTTACTAAGCTTAAAACCCTGGCTGAGGCTTGAATGTCACATTTGGAGGACCAGCATCTTTCCATTGTAGTTGTAGTTGGAAGGTGAGGATGGCAGAAGGAGAGCCCTGACCGTGATAAGCTGACCTGCACGAATTCATGTACCACGTGAGTAGCTCTCTGCTGTATAACTTAAAGAGAAGGAGGGTTAGGGTTGCCTCAGTCAAAGCAGCCTTTAGGAGCAGATGAGAGAGGTTCTGCTCCTTGTGGAGTCCATGGGAGCTTTGCCCTTGGCCCCTGGGGAGGAGCACAGGTCCAGCACAGACTGCAGTGTGTGCAGCTACAGCTCTGTGCATCTTGCGTACCTTGATGTTTTGTTTCTGCCTGGAGTACTTCCTAAAGGAATGCTTTTGAGGGATGACAGGGCTGTCACCGCAGCCCTAAGTTAAACCTGCTTGCGGCTGGGTGCTGTACTGGGATGTAACATGAAGGGCAGGCAGCGCTTGCACAGTGCTTTGGGTTGCTTTTCAGGAACACACAGTGCTCTGCAAAAAGCTGTTTTATCCCTTGC